ACAGCTGCAGACGCACCATGACGTGCAGACGAATGCAGTTGTCACTTCAGAAAATGTAGAAAATGTCAACACCATTTTCGTGTAACAATTAGGTCCTACCACCAATTTTATACTCTTTAGATAGGTCTGTCCTTACTAAATGATAAAAGACCTTAGTAGGTACACATCTGTCCCATATACCTTCAGCAAATCACAAGGGATGCTACAAAATTCTTGTTTAGATACAAACAGACGCTGGCTTCTGAATATGGGCAAAGACAACCGACACCAACGGCTTAAGTGCTCTCTGAGGCACGGAGGAGTGTCAACGTTTTAAGAATTATGAGCCAAGCGAAATTCGACCTTGAAGGCCTAGCCGTAACTTTATACTCTGTGCTACAGAACATCTATTCTATTTCTGTGATCTGAATTTTTTCTTAAGGTGTATTTTTGTGTGTGTTAATGACATCAGTGAGGTTGTTAGTGTAGGTTTTTGTACATAGTACCTATTTTCGTATATGTATATATGCCATAGTCTCAAGTCAGTTAAGAAGCAGCATATGTCGAATTTTTTTTTAAGGGAGGGAAATCTTCGAATGACTGCTCCCGCCTGGGTGAGGCGGGAGGGAGTGTCAGACTCTTACTGACTAAAAACCACCCCGTTCCGTTCGTTCCTTCTCCTGCTCGTCAAGCCGGAGCCCCGGTAACCTGTTAGGTTCTCCGCGACAGCATATCTCGTATGGGGTTATTTCAGTATTTTCCCATTTTTAAATACACACTTTGACTGGCTCAACCTAAGGCTCAGAGAGATTTGAAAATAATAATCGTAACATCCGCTTTTGGCTGAGTTTATGCAGCATCAGATTAAAGTTATTGTGCTTCTTGTGAGTAGGTATACATTAAATCGAAAAATTTTCCTTTACGTACCTGACAATCAAATTGAAACCAATTACCAAGTAAATGCATTTTACGACTTGATGATTGAGGTAATCAACATCTTTGATTGACACAAATAAAATGGATGCGGGTGGCACTTTATTTTATTTTTGTGAAAAAGCATTAAAAATCACGTCACGCCCAGCATGAGTCACTTTCGTCTGCCAAAAAATCAAATGAATTGTGTAATCTAATAAAATATTTGTGTGTGAATAAAAAATGAGCCGATTCCGAGAGCAATCAAGTTGGACAAGTAAAAATTGGTTTGCGTTAGAATTTGTGGCGGTAACAAAGAAAAATAATGTAAGTAGGATCGAAGCTCTTAGGTCATTTTGTAAGGGTCTCTCTGTCTGGCTCCGATCTTAAGTTGTTTTAGGTTAGTAAGTACTATAATTATTTTCTTTGCTCCTAAAGAAATCAATCAATAGTTAAGATAATTCTTCAAATCACCTTAGTAGGTAATCATTTACGGAGAATTTATTTCAGATTGTACATATTGTAGAATTTTAAAGGCCCTAAATTATAGGAATCTGAGAAGATTGTTCGATCTGTCTGCCATGAACGTACAAATAGATTGCAAATTCTTAATTATTAACTATTTTTAAATAAGAACATATCTACAATAATAGTTTGCGGTAATGACTATGGTAATCTTGTTCTTTCGTATCTATTTAGTTTCGGATGTAAGTTGTCTTTAGGTAGTATGTAATGGAGGAGTTTTACATAATGAAAAAATAATTAATTATTATGTTTTTTTAGCTTACCCACGTAATTATTCGACGAAGAACTCAACTAGTTTCAAGCCATAGAGGCTCATACTCATGAGCAGCATTCCGCGACCAGCGACGCGTCACGCTACTGCTATGGATTTTTTTTTTTTTTAAGTGGGGAAAATCATCGAATGACTGCCCCCGCCTGGGTGAGGCGGGAGGGAGTGTCAGACTCTTACTGACTAAAAACCACCCCGTTCCTTCTCCTGCACGTCGAGCCGGAGCCCCGGTTACCCGTTAGGTTCTCCGCGACTACTGCTATGGATGCCGCGTTGCAGGCTTGTAGCATGGCTTGATGGCTTGAAACTAGTCGAGTTCCTCGTCAAATAATTACGTGGGTAAGCCGAAAAATATATTAAACTGTCAAACACCAAGCGGTCACCGGTGACCGCAACCTATTGTTCTATAATTGTGTCTATAATGTCGGTACTCGACGAGTTAATTAATTTTGTATGTCTTACTGAACATCATGAGCACCACATGTATATCTGGCTACTCCAAACAAAAAACAATATGCTTCAATTTATTCAAATCATACATTAATTTTACTTTTCATTCATGTTTAAAACAAATATTTGTTTACAGAATTCTACTATCATCGCTTTAAATAGTACGACAGTTCCTATATTTTATTTTATCTATGTTATCAGTCATTTAATGCTGCAGTTAAATAACAAGACGTTTGTTTTATGAGACTTCACACTTTGCAAATAATATGTACGTATGATTACCTATTATGAGCCGTGTGTAACAGCTGAGTACATAAGTTTTTCCCGAGTTTGACTTTGATTTTGACTTTGACGAGTTTTCATTTCTTTATGTTTCTTTCTTTTCTTTTTATGTCCCAAATGTCTTCATGAAATTTTTTAACTTTTCAACTTTCTTTTTGTTCAATTTTTGGTACCTACGAATTCCACAATGCAATAATGTAGTATACTATGATGTGATGAATGGGTAGGCAGACGTGCATATTACGACACTTAATGCCACTGTACCTACAATGTAACACCCACTTTTCACTATTTATGTTATAAGTCCCATGTAATAGGAGGTGAGCCTATTGCTATACATACCTACGCACATTTGGATTTTCTCCTATGTTATAAGTGCGTTTAGAAATATACAATTTAATGTACATATTACATTCTGACAAGGAACAACAATTTCACATGCCTTAGTATTTTTTCGCTTGTTTGTTACGCAGTGATTGCTAGTCAAAGCAATTTATGTCAGTCTAGACTAGTTACGACAAGATACGTTTGTTTCTCGTTTCCGTCTAAACATAATAGATAACGTATTGCGCAATATTTATATGACGCAATAATTTATCACCTGCTTATATATTGAGCAACATAATAATTGCGCAATGTTGTTTACCTGTATTCTGTGAATGGAGTATAATAAACAGGACATATATTGCGTTATTTAATTCTATATAATTTAGTTTTGGAAAGATGTAAGCAGTTTTTAAATATAAAACAGTCGTTTTCAAACGGTTTTATTAGGCTTGACTCGTTTTTTTGTTTATTTGTTAAGGTCAGACTAAGTCATCGGAATTTCACCTCCTTTCTGACGATAGTTCGATCAGATTTTTGATGACTGTACAATATTATAATCTATTTTTTCCACAACTACCTCCATTATGGATATCAAACGAAAGAGCTCGGTGGCAGAATTACATTTAAACTGTCAAACACCAAGCGGTCACCGGTGACCGCAACCTATTGTTTTATAATTGTGTCTATAATGACGGTACTCGTCGAGTTAAACCGCCCAAAAAATATATATATCTTGTTTCGCCTGATATAATATATTATTTGGTGTTATCATTTTTATTTTTTGTCCAAATCCTGTTTTATGAAAAATCTTAATCGTAGTAATACTTAGTACTATGCCTGACCAAAGTATTGATAGATTGCAATTATAAAATGGTATAAATTGCGATCATACAGAAGAAAACATCGAACCAAAACTATTCCTCAATAATCGAACATTATCCTACAAAACGAACAAAACAAGATTAGAAAACTAACTTTATATCGACTATGAGTCTCATTATTTTAATATAGAATACAAAAATGAAATCCATCGAAAGCCTTTAGACTTATTTTGGTAAAGAAATGATACCTACACAAAAAATAATCGTTCTTAGCACGTGTGCTTTCAGCTGTGACTAAAATAAGACCCCCAGTGGTTTCCGATACCTCCAACTTTTATATTTAGACACTATTATATTTGTGTATTGAGGTCACGAGAATATAGATAGACTTTGGCTTTTGTAATATTTCACAGCTTTTTTCTAGATGTATTTCTTATTAAAAGTCGTTGTGTTGAAGTGGAGTAATCATGCTTTTCACAAATACATAAAACATTGATTGTAATGTTAATTTTAGTGGTATCTTAGCAGGTTTCTACAAGAAATATAATAGCTTAAAAATTACCTGTGTAGTAGTTGAACGAGAAACTATTACTTCAACATTTCTCTATTTCGTTGCGTCTATTCTACCTCTATGTCGTGGTGGCCTGGAGGTTTAAGACGCCCGCTTCTCATGCATGAGGGTGTAGGTTCAAAACCTACCAACGGCAAGTACCAATGTGACTTTTTCTGAGTTATATGTACTTTTTAAGATTATTTAGACACCACTGACAAACGGTGAAGGAAAACATCGTGAGGAAACCTAGGCTTATAATTTCTAATTATAAGTTTGTAATCTGACTGCACGGTTGGTGCGGTGGCTGGGCAACCGGCTGCCGTGCAACGTGTCGCGGGTTCGATTCCCGCACGGAACAACACTTTGTGTGATCCACAAATTGTTGTTTCGGGTCTGGGTGTCATATTGTGTATGTGAACTTGTATGTTTGTAAACGCACCCACGGCACAGGAGACAACCCTAGTGTGGGGCAACGTTTTATAAAAAAAAAAAATCACCAACCCGCATTGAGCAAGTGTGGTGCTCAAACCTTCTCCGTGTGAGAAGAGGCTTTGCTCAGCAGTGGGCATTTATAGGCTGTTGATGATTCCACCTCTACCATATTGCTCTATTCGACCTCTTTTTCAAAATTGGTTTTTTAATCAACAAAGAAAACAAAAATTTTACAGCACTAGTATTCACACAAAAGACGTGCATAATGATTGGTGAATGTGTGTATGGCTAAACAATGCATGCCTTAAAGAATTCCTGTTCAAACTACGTCAAAAACTCAAGTCATTTTGAGAAAACAAAGGTCAGAAGTGCGATTTAAATCCTAGTTGCCTGCTGCTATAGATCGTACGGGTACATATCATCTTAAAAAGTCATGATTTTCTACACTTACCTCTTTCTCTCTCAGCTAAAGCCGGTAAATCCACGTCACTCATTTTTTAAATTTAGCCTCACTATTTATTTTCAAAAAATGTTTTATTAACGCACTGTTACGCGTACTTCTCATGTCAATGGCAGCCTCCTTAATAACATTGTAACATAAAATAATGTTATATGACGTAAAAATTAATTTATCTTAGTAACGGCCTTGTGACAACTAATTAATCTTGATCCTTTTGTTGTACGACTCGTCTTTATGATATAGAGAGCCTGAGAGGTCTTTGTCGTTGGTCGTTTTGAGAGAGTAAATCAAAATGATAAGACTATAATTATACTTTTCCTGAATAGCTACTGTTTGTCTTAAGTTTACATTTCTGTGATTTATGTCAAAAATATTATACGTAGTAGTACGCTTCTCTGCCTGACGTGTACGACTAAAATAAAACGTAGGTAATTGTATGATGAAATCCTACTAATATTAGTGCTATTATTATTATTATGTATGTCTTTACTATTCACGGGACTACAGGGTCCTGGTCATATGGGCGGCATACTAGGGGCCGAAGCCAACTGCGCAGAGGCCCTTTAGATAAGTTTAATCTAAATGTAATATGGACACACAAACCGGTGACTATCCCTGTATGCACTATGGAAATGCACCCAAGAACAGACCCCGGTTAGTGTATGTGGATGGGTTGCTGTGAACTGGTAAATTGGGAACTATGAATGACTATGGCACCTGCCGAAACAATGTAATTTTTACACGTAAAAATGCCAGGCGGAGATTCGCCAACTCACTGACCGGGCCCTGGGAATGGTTGCTAGATATAGCAACAGAGGGACAACGAGAATGTGAGTGGCTGAATTACTATTAAATGCTAGAGTTTATATGTATGTTCGTTTGTAACTCCTTCGCGTCAAAACAGCTGAAGGAATCGGAATTAACTTTGGAACAGGAGTAGATTATGGTCTGGAATAACAGACAGGTCACTTTTGCCATGGAAACGCGGGGGAAGCCGCTGGTAGTAGCTAGTAATTACTGTAGGGTCCAACCATATGGACCTGCTAGAGGAGTTACCAGTTCATTATAGACAATTGCAAGGCTTTCATAATATCTCATTAATAGATTTCATGTCAGTTTTCTATAACTGTTATATGCCTCGTTGGCCGAGGGGGTCTTGGGTTCGATCCCCGGGTCGGGCAAAATATTACTGGGTTTTTAATTCTCAGTAGTAGAACGGAGCCTGGAATTGTGCCCGGTATATGGCGATAGGCTCACCCCCTGTTACATGGGACTCATAACATAAATAGTGAAAAATGGGCGTTACATTGTACAGTGGCATAATGTGCTCTGCCTGCACCTTTGAGGGTAACAAGCGTGATGTTATGTTATGTTTTATATAACGCCGTGGTATCACTCCGGTCGAGCCGGCCCATTCGTGCCGAAGCATGGCTCTCACTGTTATGTGTGAATTATTGATCGATTACGGCCCACGTCCAATCTAACACCCTTATACTATCTTGCCCTACACACAGCTGACGTCACTCATCCACTTCCGCATGATAAAAGTACCCACCTCGATACAGGGTGTTGTGGAACATCTATAGCTATTCTTAAGCCTAAAAGAATACAATAGTATAGAATTACAGTTTAGAAATTCAGCATTAATTTGGTTTTGTATGTTACTTAAATTCATTCAGAAACTGTTTGCTGATAAACAATCCTATTGACTGATTAGCTGGCTCAGTCCTAGTAATGTAAAATGGGTCATAGATAAAGGGCGTGAAGTTATGGTATGTTAATTTCTAATTATAGGTAAGTTTGAAATCGCCAACCCACATTGAGCAAACGTGGTGATTAACCTGTGAAGTGTCGGAACGCTGATCTACGCGAAACACAATAGGTTTCCTATTGTGTCTCATATATCGACAGAGGTTAATGCACAAACCTTCTCAATGTGAGAAGAGGCCTTTAGTCAGCAGTAGCCACGTATAAGCAGTTGATGCCGACAATTTTATTAAGAGCAATCTAGATGATCTCCTAATTCAAGTATGGAGAGATTAAAAAAAAAATGTTATGATTATGACCCAAATAAGTGACTGCCTCGTTGGCCGAGTGGTCGCAAGAGCGACTGCAAGGCAAGGAGTCCAGATTCCCGGGTAGGACAAAGTATTACTGGATTTAAAAAAAAATCTCAGTAGTAGCACGGAGACTATTGCATGGGACTCATAACATAATATGAAAAAGTGGATGTTACTTCTGTGTGCACCTTTGCCTACCCCTTCGGGGATAAAAGGCGTGATGTTATGTTATTATGACCCAAATATCCTTGATACACTTTATACCCTTCGGCATCACCTTGTACATCGTAGGTGTATCGTCGCCCACTCGATCACTCAACTAATCATAATCGTCTTACATAAAGCGATCTCTATTACTTATAGTTACAGTTTCTCTAATCTCCTTTGACGGAGCTTTTGGATCTTCGTATACTGTTACGAACAGTTCTATAAGCTGTGATCTGCTAGTTTCGGATTTATCTGTTTTTGTTTAAGAATTTGTTTATGGTTTTTTTACTGGCTCGTTCGTCAAATGATGACAATCAACACATAACATTACATCACGACTTTTATTCCTGAAGGGGTAGACAGAGGTGCACATTACAGCACTTAATGCCACTGTACAATGTAACACTAACTTTTCACTGTTTATGTTATGAGTCCCATGTAATAGGGGGTGCTGTCACTGAGATTTTTTTAAAAACCCAGTAATACTTTGCCCGCCCGGGAGTCGAGACCCCTTGCCTGGCAGTCGCAGTTGCGACCCTTAGTTATTGTTAGTTTAGTTTAGTGCTATTATTAGTTTCGGTATTTTATAAATAATATTGTACAGGGTCTGAAATTGTTGCCAATACAAATATGGCACGACCTTTATTACATGAGACTAATTAAAAATAATAAGTACTATTATGTATCTTTGACTCAAAATCAGAAAGCTTTGACGTCGGAATCATATATTTAAAAATAAAACCTTAAACCTAACTCCAGGCTAATCAGACTTTCGAAATTATTACTATAATCTTGTTTCACGTACTTAAAGCATACTTACACAATAAAACACATAGGTACTTGCACACAAAATTCCACACAAAGCCCTGGAACTCGTCACGTGTTCACTACAGAATGTCCATTTCATTTTCTACGCACGTCATCGCAAAAAATCTCAACAAGCTCCGATTGGTCGGACTCTCACTGCACGCATGACCGAATCGAATGTACAAGCCCACACAGGACTTTGAGGACGGGAGCCATAGAGAATCTTTTGGGAGAATTCGTGCATGTTCCTACTGCTCAAATAGCTTGTTCATTCCCTGAAGGTTTAAGTTTTTGAAAAGGTCCTCCTGGCGATGGATAGATGATGTTGTTTGTTTATTTCGATTTTATACGCGGCAAAATGGCACGTCGTGTTCGTCACTACATATACGTTCTGTATCTGAGCGATTTACTACATTTAATGATCTTTATTTTATCGTCTTATTTATTAGCAATACAAATAATTAAGATACTAAAATATTAAAATCTGTATCGTGGGGTAGTGGGCAAGTTCAAATACACATTACACCTAGACCTGGAACAACCATTTACGGATCATAAAAAGGAGTTGGTCCGTGCGGGAAATTGAACCCGCGACACGTTGCCCAGCAGCAGTTTGCCCAGCCAACGCGCCAACCGTCCAGTCAGTTGAATAATAAAATCGAATTATTTAACAATAAGGTTGGAAAGCAAACCAGCAAACCAGTACCAGAAACTTGGTCTCTTATCACGTCAACTTGTATAGCTATTACAGAAGTTGATATGTTTATTTTAAGCTACACTCAAATTAAGACAAAATACCATATTCCTATTAACAGAGAAACCACAATTAACTCAACAATTGTTACTGAATGTCATCCCTGAATCTGTTGCCACAATACCTTTAGTATTAGATTCATCTACCTATAGGCTACAGTTATATACGAGAAACATCGAGAGAATGGCCTGTCCTCAACAGAGCTATTGTTCTCTAGAACATTCCATCTGATTTAATTATTTAAGATTAAAAGAAAGCGGCCGATTGAGAATGCCTATTATAATTATGAAGCTTTATGAAACCTATCGCCTTTATAAATGAGAAGGGTTAGAAGTTTAAAATTAAGGATGTCATGTAAAGGAACAAAATTTTGTTTACATTTTCAAAAATCTCCTTGTAGTCTCCTCTTAACTTTGTATGTAATACACCTTAATTTAAAAATGTGTGGGTCAACGTAACATAGTCACTGTTTATCCCCATGGAAAACAGGCGTAAGGTTAGGTAAGTATGTATTCAAGGTGTAATTTTGAAGTCGTGTCATTTCTCGGGGGCTTGTCAAAAAATTTCGGGCCAATAGTTAAAAATACGGGTATAATAAGTCGTTTAAGTTGGACAGTATTTTAGAAAAAGCGACAGCAATGCTTCTTATTGGAGTTTTATGGAATTAGGAATAATATCAATTACATGTTTGAGTTTGTGTGTGTTAAGCTGCGTTATAAAGCTAGTTACAAGATGGCGCCGTGTAGTTCGCAATTACGGATTTCCGTAAATTACAGAAAAATGAAAAATATTTACCTACAATTTTTTTATTGATTCGGACTCAAAATCGAGAGCCGAGTTACTTTCTAGAAAATGACGCGGCTTTAAAACAACACCTTGTATATGAAAATGTGTGCCACAAGTTAGTAAATGAAAATTCAAATCAACATAAATAGGTATATTTATTAAGTATCTTAACTTATTACTAAATTATCCTAATAAGTACGTTATTGTTTCTTCTTTGGCAGGAATACAGTTAATATCACGACAACTGAAACAAAGTAAAATAATCATTAGTCTCAAATATAACCATTAAATCAGCCACCAGATGTACACTCCTGAACATAAGCAATAATTTCCAGATCGGTCTGTTGGTAACAACTTTCATCCAGCCACCTTTAGCTACATACATTACTAACGATTACCTAGGTCGTTCACAAAATACGTCTCTTCAACAAGAAGTTACTATTAAGTAGCTAGATTAATCCTTAGATCAAGAAAAGTATAAGTGTGGGAGAGCCAT